GGCAGCTAAATACAGATCCGTGAATTGGACAGAGTTGACCCTACATTCCTCAAAAAGAACTTGAGTAGGTCAAGGCTTCAGATTGAATCGTTCAAATGAAGTGAAGGTATTTTGTATGGAAAAGAAATAGTATGAAGGAAACCCATGAAACTCAGCCATGTATTTTACTATAAATAGTCATGATATATTTTCTTATGTATTCGTGGTTGAAAAAATTACAGTTTTTAGAATTTCTGCACTCTAATCCCTAGGACCTGTGGTCATGTTTCCTATCACATGGCAAAAGGGATGTCAAAGATAGATGTGCTCATTGCTATATGTTTATCAATAAAACTTTGAAAAGAAAAGAAAAAAAAAAGATAGATGTGATTAAGTTTAAGAACCTTGAGATGGGGCCGGAGAGATGGCTTAGTAGAATAAATGCTTCCCTGGCAAGCACAAAGGCCTGAGTTCAATCCCTGGTTCCGCAAAAAAAAAAAAAGAAAACAAAAGAAACAGCTGGTCGCTGTGATGCATAGCTGGGTATCCTAATGCACATTGTAAGAACCAGTCCCCAGTTGACAAGCCATTCTGCCTCTGTACTACTTCCTGCTTGCTTACCCCATATTAGCCCTAGACCACCAGAGATCAAGGCCTGATTTCCCAATCGGTGCCTATCCATGTAAGTAAATCTGCCTCCAAATCCTGGGTGCCATTTTGGTGTTTCTGCTTGCTATTGCAGAGGAAGGGACAACCAACCAACCAATGCCATCAAGAAGCTATAAAGGCAGCCAGGTGTAGTGTGCACACCTATAATCCTAGCACTCTGCGAGGCTGATGTAGGATTGCTGTGAGGTTCTTTTTTGTTTGTTTGTTTTGGCAGAACCAGGGATTGAACTCAGATCCTTGTGTTTGCCAGTCAAGCGCTTATCCTACTGAGCCTTTTCCCTGCCCCAAGATTGCTGTGAGTTTGAGGCCAGCCTGGGCTATGTACTGAGTTCAAGGCCAGCCTGAACTGTAAGACTGGATACTGTCTCAAGAGGAAAAAAAAATAACTGAAGAAACAAGGACTCTTGCCCTGAGGTTCCTACCAGACTTCTGACCTACAGAACTGTGAAACAGTAAATTTAATTGTTTTATGAGATAAATTGTCATAGCAGCAATAGAAAATGAATAAAATATTTTACTCTGATTTTAGCTTTTCTGTTATCCTTTGCTTATAAGCAAGAGACGCCAACATGAGCTTCCTTAAGGAAACAAAATAGGCCTTTCAGGCTAGGAATGTAACTCAGCAGCACAGTAATTGCCTAACATACGCAGGGTTCTGAGTTCAATCCTCAGAAACAAATAAAACCTATTGTGCACATACAGGTTTCTCAGGAAGCTCAAAGCAGGAAGACCGCAGAGCTGAGAGTGGTTGCAGGAACACAGAGGAAAGCTGCTTCCAAGAGGGTCCTTCCTCTCTGCACCCCATCCCATTTTCACTTTGTTTCCTTCTCCTCTTCCTGTAAACAGACTCTTGCTATTATTTTGTTCACAGTGGATGAAAGCTGAGCTTCAGCTTCTCTGCAACTAGAATCTCATTCTCAATTCCAATGTCCAGGGCCAGTCAAATAGCTTAGTGGATTAAAATGCCTGCAAGCAGGTGCAGGGGCCAGCAGTTCGATCCCCAGGCCCGTTGTGCCAGGCCCACCCCTGGGATGTGCTGAGATGGCAACTGAGACTGGGCATGGTGGCACACACCTGTAATCTCAGCTTTTGGGAGGCCTTCAACATGGGGGTCACTACGAGTCTGATCTCATAGTGAGACCCTGAACACCCTGTAGACCCTTCGCTAAAATAAAAAATCCGAAGGGACGGAACCCTGCACAGTCTGGGCTAAATGTCTCTTGTGGTTGAATGGTATCCTTGCAAAAAGCATTTGTTGAAGCCCAAATGCCCCAGTTGCTCCAAATCAGAATGAGGTCTTATTTGGAGGTAAAGCTCAATTAAGATGAGGACCTGCCAAGGGACGGAACCCTGCACAGTCTGGGCTAAATGTCTCTTGTGGTTGAATGGTATCCTTGCAAAAAACATTGTCGAAGCCCAAATGCCCCAGTTGCTCCAAATCAGAATGAGGTCTTATTTGGAGTTAAAGCTCAATTAAGATGAGGACCTGCCAGAGTAGGGTTGGCCCTTAATCCAAGGACTGATGTACTTGTAGGAAGAGAGAAATTGGGACTTAGACACAGACTCAGATGAGGAAGATGCCATGTGAGGATGGGGTATATGCAGTCATGCTGCCACCACCTAAAGAGTGCTTTGCTTCTTCAGGGAGAATATGGCTTCAGAACCCCTTGACCTTAGCCTTTTGGTCTCTAAAGCTAAAGCAATACGTTTCTGTCATTTTAAGCCACCTGGTTCGAGGTATTTTGTAATAACAGCCCTAGAAAATTAATAATGTATAGTGTTGTAGCTTGACACCCAATCAGTTGTGTCCAGGGGTCCAGGTCTTACAGTACACATGTGATTCCTCCCAACTTACCACTGTGGCTTGGGTGTAAAGGGGGCCTATTTTCTCCCCCCACCCCCCGTCACTCACCTACCTCAAGGGGGCCTATTTTCCAAAGAAAAACAATTATCGTGTGTTGCTGGGCTATAGCCTTAATTTTTATTCTGAGACAGGGTCTTGCTAAATTGCCCAATCTCCCAGGGTGCTGGGATTACAGCTATGTGCTGCTATGCCTATTTGCTTTGGTTTTAGTTTTTTTGAGACAGAGTTTTGCTATGTAGTTCAAGCTGGCCTTGAACTATGTAGTCCAGGGTGGACTCAAACTTGTGAAAATCCTCCTGCCTCTGTCTCCAGAGCTCTGGGATTATAGGCATTCACCACCCACCTGGTTTCTGATATTCAGTTTTTTATGGTTTGTTTTATTTTATAATATTTAGCTCTTTTACTTTCCCAGAATGCACTGCAGTATATGATGTGAGATACAAATTTGTTTTTTTTCATACTGTAAATAATCTATCAGGGCTGGGGATTTGGCTCAGCGGTAGAATCCTTGCCTAGCAAGCTGGAGGCCCTGGGTTTGGTCCTCAGCACCAAAACAAAAAATAAACCTCCCCTAAACACAATTCAACCAAAAATACAGTAAAATAATCTATTTATCTAAGATCTTTTATTACTCTTATTAGTGATTACTGTTCCCTTTTATCATGTTTTTTGTTTTTTTTGCAGACTCAGGGATTGAACTCAGGCCCTTGTGCTTGCCAGGGAAGCGCTTATTCCACTGAGCCATCTCCCCAAACCCTATCATGGCTTTTTAATAGAAAGTAAGTACTGAAGTTCGGAAATATTTCAGGAATCTATGATTTTCTGTTCAACTCATTGATTTGCCAGGTTTCTGGCGTGGAGAGAGAAGATGCTGGAAGTGTAATTTCCAACCTGGGCTTTAGAATGTGGTTAACCTTTGCTTTATTCCTCCTAGAAGTGTTTTCTTTATAGTAAGTTGTAATATCTAATTACCAAGGGGCCAGGGAGATAGCTCAGTAAAATAAGCACTTGTCTGGCAAGCGCAAGGGCCTGAGTTCAATCCCTGGTTCTGAAAAAAAAAAAAAAAAAAAAAAAAAAAATCTAATTACCAAAAGCTGTTCTGGTAGATACTGATGAGTGAACCCAAGACTTTCATAATGTATTACAAATCCAATCCTCTTTTTTTAAGAGAAAATTTTTAAAAAACTTTTTGATACAATGAAGCAATGTGTTCTAGAATAAGTGCCTTTTATGTGACTTTTGCATACATTGTCCGCACGTTCAGGGCTTCTGTTCCTGTTCACAACTTACGGAAAGGGAATACACATCGTTTCCTTTCTGTTGAGATGGCAAGAAATGGGGACAGATTGCGCTTTGCACATGGGGAATTTCCTTGGATTTAAAAAAGTCCACTTCTTTGTAAACCTTTATGTTGTTTGCTTTACCACTGGCAGAGTAATTTAGTTCCCAATTATTTAATAAAACAATAAGACAGAAAAAAAAATTGATACACAACAAAGCAGAGGGAACACGAATTTCTGTAATGTGTACTCTTTTGGATATAGGACCTTGTTTAGCTGTAAGGTCCAAGGCCTTCTGAAATTAACAGTGGCTTTCTTTCTGTCACCCACTCTGGTTTTCACTAACCTTCAAACGTTGCCTTTCACACGGGCCCCCCACCCACTCCTCCTCAGCTTGATTTCTGGGGTCCTCAGTAATCTCACACTGTTTACCTACTTCGGGGCCTAGATTTGATAGGCTGTTTTAAGTACTTCAGTTAAACTTGCCTGTTTGGGGATGGGGTTATTACAAACGTAAAATTTCAAGAGGCAACTTCGGCTGAAACACCATTTCTGATCTTCCTTCCTCTGTGACCCCCAAAGGGAGCCTCTTTCCAGATGAGCGCCTCAAAGCTGCTCAAGCCCAACGGCTTTTCACCGCAGCCCCGAGCCGCGGCCACTCACTTCTCGGTCGGTGTTGCCAAAGAAGGAAAGGTCTTAACTGCATGTCCAAGCACTACTCAAGAAACGCAGTTTAACCAGGAAAGCGTGCCTTTTAACTCTCCTTTCCCGGAATAAAAGGCCCTTACTTTTAATTTTACATTCGTGATAATTTTATTTTATTTTTTTCGTTCCGCTGTTACCAGCTAGGAGCTAAACACTGGCCCGAGCCCCAGGCAGCTGCTGGAAAGGCGCCCTCCCAGGAGGAGAAGGCTCGCTCAGGAAACACTGGGGGCGGGAGCGACCTCGAGCCTCTTTGTCTCCCAACACCGTAGGGACGCTCTCCAAGTGCCCCACCAGCGTAAGCCCCTAGTCTGAACCGCTGGACAGGAACAGGGGCAAGGCGACATCGCGGACCCTCTCCAGGTCCCCAACTCCCCCAGCTCCAGCCTCAGGCCTCCCGGGCTGGGCGAGGACCACCCACGAAGCGGCGCGGCCCCGCCCCCGACGCGCCGTCGCCCCGCCCCCGCACGCTGCCGGGCGCGCGGAAGCTGGGCGCTCTGCTCCGATCCTCGAGTGTTTTCGAGTCTTCCCTAAGGCACGCTGTGCTGCTACTCTCAGCTCTGTCAGCCACAGCGCAAGGACGGCCACCAGCGGGCCAGACTGCAGAGAAGAGATCGGCTTCTTCCTTCTCATAGGAGAGGGGGGAAACCCTCACCCTGGTGAAGGTTGCTCTTAGCCTACCTTCCCCACCTCCATCCTAAATTCTTGGTGACAGATTAATTTTGATCCTCAATTCAGAAGGAAAGAAAGAAAAAAAATCTCGTGGGGCTTTGGGATTAAAATGCACAGTTTACAGATCAGAACTGGACTTTTTGTTCGAATTTAGGCCCGAAGGGCGAAGCTGAGGGAGATGGGCCATGTCGGGCCTCAGAGGTCTGTGCCCTTTAGAGGAGTCTCCGGTTTCTCCAGAAGGCGGGGCCCAGGGCTGGACTCTTGTGCTTTTCCCCTTCTAGGTTCCAGAATGGAAAATTCATGGAGGCCAGCCTAGCTCAGGTCAATAAGCTTTTTATTGCCACTCTTGGCACCCTTATCCCCAGCAAGATTCCTGCTTCTTACACTGTAGAAACACTAAGTTCTCTTGCAGGGGGGTGTGGGTGTGACCACTCTTCCACACTGCCAAGTTAAAGAAAATCCCACTTGCTGGAAAGGGAGGACCTGATAGATAAATTCAAGGACGTGGCTCAGTCCCCCTTCTTCAGGGTGCTGCAAAGTATAGAGATCGTGGTTCTAAACTTACAGAGAGCGCAGGGTGAGGATGAATTTGACTGCTGTTGTACCCCTTGCCTTTGCTGTCATGTTACCATGGAAATGAGGGAGGTGCAGGTGTAGCTCACTCTGACTACCTGGGAAGACAGGCATCTGGTAAACATACCTCCTTCCACTCCTACCCAACACAGCTGTCCCCAGCCGACCCCCACATTCCCTATTGCCTGGTCCCACGCTCTTCTCTTCTCCTGGACTCCAGGCAGTGCTGTGGTATTTAGTCTCCACAGCCAGGTTTTGAGGGCAACACAGACTTAAGTGTGTCCACTAAGCTCGGTGGCAGCCCTAATAGAGCTGTTGGCTGTTTTGCCTCGGTGAAGAAACAGCAGCTAATACTCCTACGTTGCTGTGTAACTGGTGTTTCCCAAACTTCTCTCCTAGACAAAACTTAAAAATGTAAACTCAAACACTTAAGGTTAGAAACAACACAAAATAACTCTCTTGATAATGCTGATGGCTAGGATGGGGGAGGGAGGCACATCCTCTGAGACCTGAGCCCCCTATACACCCTCCCTTCTTTCTGCCCATCTGAAGTTTGCTTCATCCCAGTGGGCAATGATTGCTAGGGAGCTGGAATTCAAATCTCCTTGGGTACTGTTCTCAGCACCTGCTGCTGCTGGTCAGTGAGGCTTGCCCGTTGCCATGGTGAGGAAGTACAGGATGGATTCTCAGTACCATGGGTCAGCCCGATGCTGCTGATTGTAGAGCTGTAGCTTGATCTGATCTTTGATCTGATTCACCAGGATCTGGGACAGCAGGATGCCCACAAGCTGAGAAAGGCAAGAAGGAACTGGGAGCTCAGCAATGAGTGATGTCCCTCCCTCCCCTGACTCAGTCTTCCCAGTGAGGTAAGTAACATCTCTTCCTCTACCCCTCAGCAGTGTCAGTCCCCAAAACCACAGCTGGTCCCCAAGTGCCCTCCCCTACATAAATGAGTCTTGGCAGAGTTTGCAGGACCTACAAGTCACACAGAGTAAGTTACCTGGGGGATGGCCAGCCCCAGTGCCACACCACCAAGTAAGAATAGGTTGCTGTGTATCCAGTTGACCAACTTGTCAATACAGCCGTTGGTATAGATGACGTTACTAGCTTCCGAGTATTTAAGAGCCTGCATACCTTGGCCACACATAGTGTTGATCACTGCCTGGGGAAAGAATTGAAAAGCCAAATGGGTCTCCCATGCCAATGACTTCTTGTTTTGAACCTCAGCTGAAGGGTTTTGCACCTTTCCTAAACTCTGAAATTGTTAAGAGTATCTGTGGAGGATGATGGCCTGGAAATTGCTAAATACTCACTTCCCTTTCCTTGGGAAGCTGAAATTTAGTTCTTCTTTCTTTAGGTCTGCCTTCTCTGAACCCCCATATAGGCTATAGTAGTGAAAAGTTAAGGGAGCCATCAGATTGAGGTAAAGAAAAACATCTAAGACCTGTTCTACAAAACTGCTTGGTTAAGATGTAAAATGGGCAAGAAAGTAATGCAGATCATTACCCAGAAGGAAGTGAGGAGGAATGTTTGCTCACCTGGTTTGGGGTAGGCAAGCAACAGGAGTAAGGGACAGAGCATCGCTCACGGCTAGGGTTATCGTCTGAGCAGTTGAAGTACATGTTCTGGGACCAGTCCTTGTAGGAATTTCCTCCACAGCAGCTGAACTGCAACAGAGCCCATGGCAAAAAAAAAAAAAAAAAGAATCACCCACCCCATACCCTGACAGAGCCTTGAACTTTATCTCAAGTCTCCTAGTTGCTTTTCCTAAAGAAGGTTTTTCTTAATTTCTCCTCCTTTATATATCTTTTTTTTTTTTTTTTTTTCTTGTACCAGGGATTGAACTCAGGACCTTGTGCTTGTCTGGAGGTGCTTATGCAGCTGAGCTATCTCCCCAGCCCCCTCCTTTATATATCTTGTTATACCTTACCATATAGTACTAGGTATTATAGTTGTGTGTATACATCTTTTTATTTTATTTATTTTTTTTTGAGACAGGGTCTCGCTGTGCAGTTTGGGCTGGCCTTGTGCTCACTTTTGTAGCCCCCAGGCTAGTCTCAAACATACAGAGATCTTCCTATCTTAATTTCCTGAGTTCTGGGATTATAGGTGTGCACAACCATGCCCAGTTCTGGGGCCGTGCTGTGGATGGTAGGTGCCAGCATTTGGGGCCAAGATGGCACGCCTAGGGATCCCAGCCAGATTACACGGGCATGTGGGGCCAGGGATTGAACTTGGGTCCTTCTGCTTTCCAGGTAGGTGCTTACGCCTCTGAGCTATCTCCCTGGCTCCCATATTTTTAAATTTACATATTCAGCCACACCTGTAATCCCAGCACTCAGGAGGCCAAGGCAGGAGGATTGCTGGGTTGTAGTCCAGGCTGCGTGAGCTCAAGGCTGGCCAGAACGCACATAGCCAGACCCTGTCTCAAAAAGACAAAAAATAATAAATAAATTTACATATTCAATGATACTCCTTGAAAGAAGGTAGAGAAAGTTCTGGCTTTGTAGTTCTGCATGGCAGAGTCTGATAAAAGGAAGTGTTCAAAAATATTGGCTAGAGCTGAGGATATAGCTCAGTAGGACAGCATGAGCGTAGCATACACAGAAGACCATGGGTTCAAACCCAGCAACACCTAAAAGTAAAAAGAGTCAATAATACTGGCTGAAATAATTAAAAATTAGTGCTTTAAAACCTTGACTTAAGATAGAGAAAATACAAGAAGGGAATCTTCAATATTCTAAGTCCATAGTTGTTCCTTGAAAGCAAAGAGGATCCCAGTCCAGCGTCCATTGCACCACAGGAAGGGAAACTCAGCATTGCCCTCAAATTACCATTGTTTAAAATTTCAGGCCGGCCTGATACCTCATTGGACTAAAGTGCCTGCTTCGGCAGAGTGCAGCCTCTGGGGTTTGTGCTGGGCTGGCCTGCCCCTGGGGCGCACTGAGAGGGCAATTGAGACTGGGTGTGGTGGCTTGTGCCTGTAATCCCAGCACTTGGGAGGCTGAAAACAGGAGAATCACTATGAGTCAAATCTATGTAGTGAGATCCTGTAGACCCTGTCCTAAATACAGAAAAAATAAATAATAAACTTTAGCTTTTGATTCACAGCAGCATTAGTCACAGTAGCCAAAAGATCGAAATAACCTAAGTATCCATTGGTGGATAAAAGGATAAATAAGAAATCCTTACATACTTATATCCTTGGAATATTACTCAGTCTTTTATTTATCACTATCTACCATTGATCCCAAGAGTACAAGGTTAAATTAATATGTGAAAATCAGTCAGCTGTATACTAAACTATAAGGTCAAAATTACATGATCACCTTAGTAGGTACATAAAACAATTTGACAATACCCAGACTCTCAAGTATTTTCAGTCTCTGTTACATTTTGTTTTTCTGATGGCTTAGTCCTCTTGTCATTATCCAGCATATCTATTTTATTTTACTGTATTAGTACATATTGGCAATTGCAAGATGAAGTTTACACTCATCTTGGGGAAGAGGTACATGTATATAACACAACTTATTCCTTTTTTACATGCTCTTTTTTTTTTTTTTTTTGGTTCTACCAGGGATGAAATTTGGACCTTATGCTTGCCAGGCAGGTGCTTATGCCACTGAACTATCATCTCCCTGGCCCTTTTACATTCTCTTCCCACTTCCCTCCCTCCTCTCTAAGTCCCCTTTCCCCATTTTCATTCTTCTTTTTGTACCAGAAATTGAACTCAGGACCTTGTTCTTGCCAGGCAGGTGCCTGTGCCACTGAGCTACATCCCTGGCCCTTCCCATTTTCATTCTTGTTATTGATATTCTTTTTTTTTTTTTTTTGCGGAGCTGGGGATTGAACTCAGGCCCTTGCACTTGCCAGGGAAGCGCTTATTCAACTGAGCTATCTCCCCAGACCCTTGTTATTGATATTCTTAGCTGATGTTTATGACATAAAATGTTTACATTCATTATGAGTATTTGATACCTGTACATGATAAATCATAAATCTTACTTCCCCTTTCCCTGTCCCCTCACCCTTAGTCTCTTTTCCCCTTCCTATTTGCATGAGATCTGTCTCCTTATTTCCTTCTATCCATCCTTTACTTTGTTCTTTGTTTGTACTTTGCCTTTCTCAAATGAGAGACACCATACAGTATTTAAGTTTGTATGTCTGATTTATTTCACTCAACATGGCACGTTTTAGGTGCATCTATTTCCTACGAATGTCTCACATTGATCCTCTATAGCTATGCAGTAGTAGATACCACATTTTCTTAAGCATACTGCTGGCCATACAGGCTGCTTCCAGGGCTCAGCTAATGTGAATTGTGCTGCAGTAAACATGGGTATGTACATATTTCTATATATTCTATCTTTAGGGCCGGGGATATGGCTCAGTGGAATAAGTGCTTCTCTGGTAACCGCAAGGGCCTGAGTTCAATCCTTGGTTCCGGAAAAAAAAAAAATTATATCTTTAACTCTTTTGGGAAAATACATAGAAGAAGAATCACTGGGTCAAATAGAATTTTTAATTTTAATTCTTTGAGAAGTCTCCATACTGATTTCCATAATGGCTGTATTAATTTACCAACTATATAGGAGAATTCCTTTTACACTCAGCCTTAAAAGGATGGACATTCTAACACATGCTACAACCAGGTTGGAAGACATGCCAAGGGAAATAAACCAGTCACAAAATGATGAATATTGTATGGTCCCATTAATTGATATGAGGTACCTAGAGATGTCAAATTCACAGGAACAGAAAGGAGACTGATCGCCAAGGCAAGAGGGAAATGGGGAGCAGATGTTTAATGGACACGGGGTTTGACTTGGGGAAAGTAAAAGTTTAGGAGATGGGCGGCGGTGATGGTTGCATACACGTGAATGATTTTGATAACACAGGTCTGTATACTGAAAAGTAGTAAACTCAGCAGTACAGTGCTTGCTTGTGACATATGAGGCCCTGGGTTTGATTCCTAGTATTACAAAACAAAAACTAAATTTCATGTTATACATACTGACCACAATTTTATTTTATTTATTTATTTTTTTTTTAAATTTTCTATTTATTTGTGTGTGTGTGTGTGTGTGTGTGTGTGTGGCCAGCTCAGCTCACCAGGGGGCAGGGCTGGCTAGCATGTGGTGCTGGGGGATTGAACCGTGGTCCCTGTGCTTTGCTAAGCTTGTTCTAAATAGGTGCTTTAGACCACTGAGCCATCTCACCAGCCCCCTGACCACAATTTTAAAAATGTAACTTTTGACTAGAGGAAGCTAAGCATGGTGGTGAATACATGTAACCCCAGAATTCTGGGAGAGGAAGGAAGGAAGGTCACAAGTTCAAGCCCAGCTTGGGCAACTTAACGAGACCCTGTCTCCAAAAAAGGTTGGGGTCCTGGGGATGTAGCTCAGTGGTAGAACACTGGCCTAGCATGTGTGAGGGCCTGAGTTCAATCCCTAGAAAGAGAAGAAAGCAAAACAACTGGCTAGTTTCTCATTCTGCTGTGGACAGTCACTTATAATGGTCCATATATAGATCATTCCAGAATTCTTTTGCATATATGAATATATACTACCCCCCTTTTATGTAAAAGGTAGATTACTATACATACAATTATGTAACCTTGAAGAAATGTTAAAGAACTCTGTGTTTTCCAAAACCTGTATCTTGGGCCGGCCAGATAGCTCAGGGGATTAAAGCACCTGCTTAGGCAGACTCAGGGGTTGGAGGTTCGATCCTCGACCTACTGTGCCAGCCCTGCCCCTGCATACGCACTGAGATGGCAATCAAGACTGGGCATGGTGGCACGCGCCTGTAATCATAGCGTTTGAGAAGCTGAAAACAGGAGAATCACTACAAGTCTCATCTGAGACCCTGTAGACCCTGCAGTAAAAAAAAAAAAAAAAAAAAAAAACCAAAAAAAACAGCCTGTATCTATAGTGTGCAAATTACCTACCAAATAATGAAGAGGCCCATGGGAAAGCCCTAGAGAGGGAAGCATCTCCCAGAAGGGCTGTCAGCCATAGCCACAGGCCCCACTGACACCACCACACTGAGCCCATACCTTCTTTTGGCCAAAATCAATGAGGTTCTGCAGATCCAGGTCATCCCGGTAGTGCACAATGGCGTTGTTGATAATCTCACTCACTTTGCCTCGAGCCTGCAGACATATGGAAAGGGAATCAGGACCCAGAACTAATCCCTAACTTATTCCTCCCTGCAGAAGTGACAGTAAACAAAGATCACATTTTTCTTGCTTGTCACTGTAGAAGTTATGAGTCAGGAGGCCACTCTTCACATACACCACAGTGACCTCCACAGCAAACCCCAAGCAGCCTGGAACAAGCTTGGCTCCTTCTCTCATCCCACTGTGGGGGCACACTGGTAGCTACCAAGCTCTGCATGGCCAGGAGGCTCCAGGCCCCTTCTTTTTGCCTCAGTTCCAGTCCTTCCATCATAGTCATTCACTGCTCACCACCTCCCATTCTAACTTCCTTTTAGCACACTGGATAGCTCTCTAACATCCCAAAGACCACTAACCTACCAGCAAAACACCCAACACACATTCATATAGGTCCGTACCTTTGAGGACCCCTATCAGCTGAGGTGAACGGAGGGCCAGCCCCAAGTCCCCTGCCTTGTACTCATGAGATAAGGAGGGAGGAATCTGAGTCTGATGGCGGCACCATGACAACAGCCTTTTCCCTCATCAGCAGACACCTAGATAAGACAGAGGCTACTTGCTCTCTACTTTTTTTTTTTTTTTTTTTTCGCCTCTACTCTTAACACCAAAATGGGAAAAGGTGAAATTTAGAGATCTGAGTCCCTAAGAAATATTAGGACATCTCTCCCCGGAGCTGTGAGAGGGGTGTCATAGGTCAAAGATTGAGGTTATCCCCGTTTCATGGTAGTGGAGGAGATTGAACCTAGAGCCTTTACACTGAGTTACAGCCCAGGCCCTTTTTAATTTTAATATTTTTATTTGAGGCAGGATCTTACCTAGTTGCTAAATTGCCTAAGCGAGGTTTGAATTTGCAATCTTCCTGCCTCAGCCTTCCACAGTGCTGGGATTACAGCTATGTACCACCTTGCCCAGCTCAGATTATCCTTTATATGAATCCGTCTGGAAAAATCAGAGCCAAGGCTGGGTGGGCATGGTGGTGCACACCTGTAATTACAGCACTTGGGAGGCTGAGGCAAGAGGATCCTTGTGAGGAGATCAGCCTGGGTTACAAAGTGAGCTCAAGGCCAACCTGAACTGCATAGCGAGACCCTGTCTCAAAAAGATGAATGAAAGTATGAAAGAAAGTGAACCAGAGCCAAGTCCTAATGAGGGAAGATGTCCAGCCCAGAGCCCCTCTGTCCTTGGCCCTCAGGTACCAGTGAGCAAGAGAAATGCTGAACCTGCTGTTACTGCTTCTCAGAGAGATATTTCAAAGTAATCTAGTGTTTATATACCTTTATATATTATTACCACAGTAACATTTTTTTTTTGAACCAGGGATTGAACTCAGGCCCTTGCGCTTGCCAGGGAAGCACTTATTCTATTGAACCATCTCCCCGGCCCTCACAAAAACATTTGTTAACTGATGCAAAATGGAGAAACTCATTTATTTAACAGAAGTATTTGCCAAACAGTAGCACTGACCTCTAGTGGACAGAAGAAAATTGCATCTTTTTAGACTCAACAAATCTCTTAACATTTTAGGATTTTAAACCAGAAAGATTAGAAAATTTTAAATCAATTCAACAGCTCTCTAATTCATAATTTTCCACCATGTTCTCTTTCTGTTCCACTACTTTTCTTTCGGTTTTCTTCATGGTCTAAACCTTGTCCCAGGTCTGCCCTCTGGGAAAGGAATTCTGGTTCCTTTTTAAAAGGACTATTGCTGCAAGGCAACCTCCAGATAGGCTAAACACTGCTCATATCATGTTTTCTTTCTTTGTTTATCTCAACAATTCCTAAGGAAACAAGAGGCTCTATGTGTTGTGTGTCACCTGATCCATGAGATTTATTTAGTTATTTATCATTAAAGTTGCTGGTTAATTTGGTGTTTATAAAATTTTCTTCCCTGTTGGTCTCTCAGACTGTCACAGAAAACAGTTTACAAATGTGCAGTTCTCTGTGCGTATGGTGGCTTTAAAGGCCACTTATTCATCCCTAAGGAGAACCTTCCAAAGGCTGCTATTTCTCAGAGGAAGCAGTGCTGTGGTTAATTAACCAGGCTAAACACCAGCAGGAACTTTCCCACCTCCCTCTGGTTCAGCAGAGGTCCCCTGACGCTCAGCATTACCTTGTCTGAGAAGATGAATCCCAGGACCCCAGCAGCCAGCTGTAGCAGGAACACGATGGTGAGGCAGAGGGAGAACTGTGGCAGCAGACAGGCAGAAGAGACAGTCTGTTAGCATTCCGGGCAGCAGCCCTCCCAGGCCACAGGAAGTGTTGGAGGGCAATAGGCTCATCCCCTAGATGCCTCCGACTGGGATGCTTCCTGAGTGGCCACCCTTTTACTGTACTTGGGGCCAGGGCACCTGGGGCTGAACTCTCTAGTGAGGGGTGGACAGCACAGGCTTTCAGGTTGGGTGGGAGAGAACGCCTACAGGAAAGGAATCGGGAGACCAGCTGGCACCCAGAGAGGGCTTTCCACTCACGGTCTGTAGGAGGCAGATGTTCTCACGCAGGGATCCGATGCAGCCGCAGAAGGTGAGCAGGAACATGAGGATACCCACCACGATAAGCAGGATAGCAGGATCCACCGCCAGGCAGGCCAAGGCTGCTTCTGAGGGGAGGGCCCACTCTGTCTGTGCTTGGTACCTACTGAGGGTGCTACCAGGGATGGGTGGGAGGGTGCCCCCAATCTGTGCTGTCTTGGTGGGGAATCCCCAGTGCAAAGATCATGTGGAGGCAAATCCCACAGGGAGGACAAAAAGGTTCCAGGAAGAGTTGTGGCATTTAAGTTGATGAACTAACAAAGTAAGAGCCTTTATTCCTGGGCTTATGAGAGAAGGGGCCATTCTGGCTGTAGAAAAAATCAGGATGGCCCGGTCTCGGCAGTTCTGTGAGGTCTGTTTCTGGGAGCCTTTATGCAGAGCAATGGGAATGGAGGTTGAGTCAACAGACTGAGCTAGACAGGGGTCACACTGCTGATTACTCTGTTTCCAGAGGCCTAGCATCTCTCTGACACTTCCTAAGCGTCAAAGATAGGAATATCAGGTAGGAATATCTTGGAAGACTTGGGGAAGCACTGCGAATGCAAGTGCACTGGCATGAGCAGGAAGAGACAGGGCTGGGGCTGGACGAGGCAGAGGGGAGTAGGCTTGGCAGCAGATCATAGGAAGGTAGAAGGAGACAAGAGCTCACCCGCATGCTTCATCAGCCGGGCGTAGACACCCACTGCCACCATCACCATGGAAATCACCTGTGGAAACGGAGAGACCAGACCCAACCTTGAGATTTTTGGAAGTCAGAGAGCCTTGAACACTGTAATCTTCCAGCAGAACAGGAGGGGGCAATTACTCTAGGGCCCAGGGGACTATAACATCTGTCAGGGCTCTGCCCCCAAGAATACTTTTCCCAGTATTATCTCATAACATCCTTGCAATAACATTATCTTCTGAGGCAGATAGTATCCCCATGTCACAGATGAGGCCCTAGGTGCAGTCTTCAACACCAAGAAATACTCAAAAACCACATTTTAAGAAATGGGCTTCTAAGTGAGACAGATTATACTGCATGTGGGACAAACCTCTGAGCCTTAGTTTCTATATCTGGAAGTGTGAATTAGGAACAAATAAAAAATACACCTAATAAGATTACTGTAAGAATGAAATAAAATAATGGGTGAAGAATATTGGTTTATTTTTTTTCAGTTAAATTTTATTGGTACATTTTAGATATACATAATGATCACATTCATCATAGAGAATTTGTACCTGTGCATGATATAACTTGCCCCCCCTTCCCACACCCTCCCTGGGTGGAGTATGTAACAGAGGCCCAAAAATAAATATTATCTGCCATTATTAACCATCAGTTTATCCAACGTCATATAGGAACTACGAGGGTTTTTTTTTTTTTTTTGTTATTTTTCTGGTTCTGGGGACTGAACCCAGAACTTTCACTAAGCTACACCCTCAACCCTTCTTTTTTATTTTGAGACGGGGTTTGCCCCAAGTTGCTTGTGCTTCCCTTGGATTTCTGATCCTCCTACCTCAGAACTCCGGAGGAGCTGTGATTATAGGCATGCACCACTGACCCCACCTGGCGTTCTCAGTTCTAAGCCATCTATACAAAACAGCAGGTCTTACGGCTTCAGCACACCCAGCGAGATGCACACTCCCTGCTCTCTAACCCCCCGGAGGCCAATATAGTGTCAGGTACAAGAAGAACATACACATCAGCATGAGAGTGTGTGGGGTAAGTACCGGAACTGCCACGGTAAAGGAACCTTTATCTTCTAAATTTTGATTTCTGTGTGGAGGATTAGAGTTTAGACCTTTCAAATTTCATGGCTCCTTCCTGAGAGAACAAACCTGTCAAAGACTTCCAGGAGTCCCCAGAGGGGCCTTCTCTGCCCCTCAGGCACCCAAGAGTGCTGGGAAGTCCCCATAGGCACTGTAACCCCCTTGGCTACCCTTTCTCTCTGCCCTGTCTCCATGCTGGTGCTAGGCAGCAGCTGGCTGTCGCCATGGCAATAGATGAGGCCAAGCTCTGGCAGGAGAGCGTTCTCAGCAGCAGGGACTTGACCAGCTCAGCGGGAAAGGAGGCGGCTGGCTAGACCTTGCTGTCCTGCAAGACAGAAAGCAGCTAGAAAGAGCAACCCCAGGGGCCTCCAGGGGAGAAGGAAACTGGGCACCCTAGAACAGGCGAGAGGGTCAGACCAGTCATCTGGGAGAAAGACATGTTGCCTGTGGGCCTTACTTACGAGGGTCCTCTGCCATCTGGCAGGGATCAGCAGGTGCACTGAGTACTAAAAGGGCAAGTTTACTTCCTAAATCCACATCTTCAGGACCCTTCTCTGTGGAATAGCCCTCTGTTCTTGCCCTCAGTACCTGGCCCTGGCTTTGGGTCCCTGTGTTATCAGCCAGCTCACACTTTGCACCCAGGAGACAGAGAGCATGTGGGTGTGGTGTCAGCTGGAGCCCAGCATGCCCAGGCTCTGGGGCTATGGAGGGAGACAGGGAACCCCAAAGAAGAAGGGCCAGTCACCCCAAGCCTGAAGGCTGCCCTCTGCCAGAGAACGAACACCTCTATGTACCCATTAAAACTCACTCGTCCAACTGCAACTCTGCATATCATTTGTACCGAATCATTTAAAAATATACATCTATCTGCGCTTTATTTCTGTTGCTCCCAGGCTCTACACTTTTTTTTTTTCATATTTTAATTTTCACTCTAGGGTGGATAACTTTATACAGAGATGGTCTCTGATTAAATCTGAGCACAGCTAAAAGAAGAAAGGCACAGTAAGAGATGCCACATATCACAGGGCAATTTAATCCTATTTATGGGTCCATAATCACAGCAGTTGCTTTGTCATTATTGGTGGTAGGTAAAATAATTCCTCCCCAAAGATGCCCATGTCCCAATTCCTGAAACCTGTGAATATATTACCTTACATGGCAAAAGAGACTTCACAAATGTGATTAAGGATTTAGAGGTGAGGACATTATATCTGAAGGCTCAGTATAGTTACAAACAATATACAAGACAAGGGTGTCAGAGTCAGAGAAAGATGACAGAAAGGAGATTGGGGTGATGTGGTGCCATGAAGCGAGGAATATGGGTGGCCAATATGGGCAGCCCTCAAAGCTGCAGGATATGAGTCTTCCCTAGAGAAAGCCAACGTGAATGTAGCACTACTGATACCTTGATGTTAGCATATCTTGTCCTGTTTTGGACTTCTGACCTCCACAAATATAAAAAAATTAAATTTGTGCTGTTGTAAGCCATTAAGGTTGGGCAATTTGTTTCAGCAGCAGCAGCAAACTAATACAATCTCCAAATCCATTTCATCAACTGCTACATACAAGGTACTCTGAGGACCCATCATCTGTGGGTTTTACTGGGGAGGGACTAAAAGCCTTCGTAGCCTACAGCAGAGATGCTCAGCTTTGGCTGCTATTAGTCAGCTGGGAGTAGAGGAAGAGACTGAAGAAATTCTCACTGTGCAGGCTGTGAGACAAATGAAGTAGATCAGAACTGCTGGCCTTGGGGCCTAGACCACAGTCGTTCTGATGTGCTCCGCATCATTCCAAGGTGCACCCATGCCTCAGAGCCTAATGCACTGTCAGCCATGGATTTCGAACAGATGAAATCAACATTAAGCTGGGCATGGTGGCGCATGCCTACAATCCGAGCACTCAGGAGGCTGAGGCAGGATAACTGTGAGTTAGAAGTCATCCTGGATACTAACCTGGCAGGGAAGATACCATGATCATGAAGAAGACATCCTGGGCTGCATAGTAAATTCACTGCCAGCCTGAACCATTTAGCAAGATTTTGTCTCAAAAAGAAAAAAAGTCAAGATTAAGACTTTTACTATTATTGGGCTGGGGAGATAACTCAGTAGAATAAGCGCTTATCTGGCAAGCGCAAGGGCCTGAATTCAATCCCCAGTTCTGCCAAAAAAAAAAAAAAAAAGACTTTACTATTATTAACAGCTGGGTGGAGTGGCACATGCCTGTAGTCACAGCACTCTGAAGGCTGAGGTAAGGGGATCCTTGCAAGTTTGAGACCAGCCTGGGTTACAAAGTAAGTTCAAGGCCAGCTTGAACTGTATAGTGAGAGCCTATCTCAAAAAGACCAAAAAACAAAACAGAAACTCAAATTTTTTTGTTTGTTTTATAATCGTACTTTTTTTTTTTTTT